TCCACAGGATTCCTAGAGCTCAAACTAATATATGGATAGGGGATCTCTGCATGTGTTTCCATCAGCTGACAGAAGAAGCCTCTCTGATGACAATTGAATTAGGCACCAATATATATGATTATAGCAGAATATAGTTACAAATCATCTCACTTTTTCTCCCTTGGTGAGTTGTATTTGGTTTTCCTCTAGTTCTCTGAGCATCTCAGTTCCCCTTCCTGGCTGTGCAGGCAGTGTTAGCATGGGCTTCCTCTCACAGCTTGGGCTTCAGGTTAGACCAGTCATTGGTTGGCCACTACAGAAGCAAAGAGCCACCATTGCCCCAGCATATCTTCCAGGCAGGACAAGTGTGGGTCAAAGGTTTGTGGTTTGCTTGGTGTCACAGTCCTGCCATTGGAATCTTTATGTGGTTACAGAAGATGGCTGGTTCAGCATCCATATTCTTGATTGCTGGGAGTCCTCATTAGGGTCACCCTTCTAGGTTCCAGGAAGTTTGCTCTGCACTGTTTCCATAGCCACTACTAAAAGCTTTGCTGTTCCAGTCATCTCTGCCTGACTTCTCTCCCTCTTTCCTTCCTCACACACCCCATCCTTCCTCTTCCCATCCCTAGCTGTTTCTGGTACACCCACAACATCTATTCCATTTCCTCTTTCCATGGAAAGCCATGTATCACCCCTATTGCCATTCTTGATACTAAGTCTCTCAGCATCTCTGGATTATATGTACTGTGATTAACTGTGATGACTGTGACTGTGCTTCACTTAAGTATAATATCCACTTATAAGTGAGTATGTACCGTGTTTGTCTATGTGCTTCTGGGTTGCCTCACTCAGGATAATAAAGAACTCAAGAAACTAGACAACAACAAACCAATCAGTCCAATTAAAATGGGGTACAAGTCTAAATAGAATTCTCAGTAGAGGAATCTAAAGTGGCTGAGAAACACTTGAAGAAATGTTCAACATCCTTTGCCATCAGGCAAATGCATATTAAACCTACTTTGGGATTTCACTTTATACCTGTGGGAATGGTTAAGTCCAGTAACACAAGTGACAGCTAATGGCGGCAAGGACATGGAGCAAGGGGATTCATTGCTGTTGCGGGTGTGGAAATCAATATGCAATCCTCAGAAAATTGGGAGTCAATCTCCCTTAAGACCTAGCTATAGCCCTCTTGATGCTCCTCCATCCTACCACAAGGACACTTGCTCAACTATTTCCATAGTGGATTATTCATAATAGCTAGAAAGTGCTGTGTCATTGAGAGTCTGTTTTGATTAATGATTGATGTGGGAAGGCTCCTCCACTGAGGGAGGAATTATCCCTAAGAAAGTGGGCCTAGAATAAATAAATGGGACAGGAAACATGATGTTGTTGCTAGGTAGAACCTGGATATTTTCTTTTCGAGAAATGTGGAAGATATCAGGACTTTAGGTAGCAAAAGCCATAGAAAGTTTTACACAGAAATTAATTGTCTGTTCTTGTGGGACCAGGAAGATGGGGATGTTGAGAGTAATGTCAGAAAGTGGAGGTTGAGATCACAGGATTTCAGTCAGAAATAGACTCAATGAAAAATTAAGATAGACGTCATTGGTGTGATGTTTTGGCTCCAATATCTTTCTTATTCTGCCTATGCCCTTGAAATTAAGTATGGCTGAAATGAAAAATAATAAGATAATTTCTTAAATGGAACATTGAATCTTGGTTGGTTGGTTATTACTGGTGACTCATTCAGACCTACAGTTAAAAAAAACAACAACCAAGGAGTTGGGCAGAAATAAATGAAAATGGGTTGGCTATTTCACTCAGTGGTAGAGCACTTGCCTAGCAAGCACAAGGTCCTGGGTTCGGTCCTCAGTTCTGAAAAAAAAAAAGAAATGAAATGAAAATAAAATGGTAGTTTCAGATAGCAGTCAAGTGCTGAAACAGTCAGGAATTTTCAAGGAGTTTATCACCTTTATAGAGAAGACCGTTGCTCTGGAATGGAATCCTAGTAAGGTACCCTAAGGATAAGACCACATCCAGCTCAACCTTTAATTTATGGAAGGAGTAAGCAAAGTGATTTCTAGTCCCAGGAAGCAACTTCATACAAAACCTGCTGCACCTCTGGTCCAAGTGTGTTAGTGTCCATCCCAATTAAGAAGTCAAATTTTACAGAATCACTTATCATGTGCTAGTCCTGGAAACAAGAAAGAATCAAAAATTAAGGTCATGGATTCTTAGTCTTCCTGTTACAGATTACAGTTCAGCATTGTTGCAGGCATCAATGTTTAGCAGAGTTAGAAACCTAGTTAAGAGACTTTGAGAGGTCATTGCATGAAGCTGTGAGGATGAACCTGGTGTTGGTTTTTTGTTTTGTTTTTGTTTTTGTTTTTGTTTTTCCCACTCTTTTGTGGGCCAGCCACCTAGCTCTCAAATAAATTACTCAGATGGAGGCTTACTGTTTTTTATAAATACCCTGTCTTAGCTTGGCTTGTTTCTAGCCAGTGTTGCTTAACTTACATTATCCCATCTACCTTTTGCCTCTGGCCTTTTATCTTCCTCTATTCTGTATACCTTTCTTTACCTCTTACTGCCTGGCTTGCTGAGTAGCTGGGTGGCTGACACCTGGTGTCCTCTTCTTTTCTTGTTCCTCCTTTTTTCCTCCCAGACTTCTCTTCCCATTTATTCTCTCTGCTTGCAGCCCAGCCTATTCTTTACTGCCAAGTTATTGGCCATTTAGCTCTTTATTAGACCAGTTCGGGTTTTTAGACAGGCAAAGTATTGCAAATCCACAGAGTTAAAGAAAGGCAACATAAATAATGCAACACATCATTGCATCATTAAAACAAATGTCCCACAGTATAAACAAATATAACACATCTTAGCATAATATTCCACAACAGCCTGGGTTTCATTTTGAGACCACAAGATGTTGAGATACCTAAGCTATGAGACATCTTCCATGGAGACCTATCTGCATATAGTGAATGGAAGTAACTAAAGGAGAGATGTATAAGAAGTTGCAGGGATAGGGCCATCCAAGCCCTTTGAAACTGAAGTTCCATGCATCTGAGACAGAACTACAGGATGTGATGTTTGTTCTGCTGTGCTTCATTCTTGTCTTGGTCCAATCTTCCCTCAGTATGTCTCCATTTCTTTTTTGGAATGTGAATGTGCCATTGTATGTTGGAAAGATATGACTTGCTTTCTGATTTTATGTGTCACTGTCAAGAGTTTGTCTTGTCAGAAGAGACTTTGAACATAGAACAGCTCAGGGTCTGTTACAGACTATGAGGATCATTGAAGTGACTAAATGCCTTTCCTTCATGGATGGCTATGAGTCTATAGTGTCATTAGACCCTGTCTAATGTGACTGGGTCACATTGTAGTTGGTTGAATGAAAACTTCCCAGATAGGGTGATATATTTGAACATGCGCATCTCCTTGGTGATTTTTTTTTTGATTGCTTGTGACACCTTTAGAAAGAAGAGCCTTTCTGGATGAAATGTCTCATTGGGGATGAGATAACGTCAACCCATTGACTGTTCTTTGTATCTACTGTGTTGTGATTGAATCTAATCAGCCTGCTTCCCTCTTGTGCTGTCATGCCTTTACCACCATAATAGTCTCTACCCCTAAATTACATAAGATACAGTAGAAGCCATTGCTGTTCAGTGCTGAGTCAGTTTGGTAGACTGTTGTTTTAATATGTATTTTTTTCTTATTGTTGTTGTTGTTCCTTTGTTTGTTCTGAAGACAAGGTTTGTCTTTCTAGCCCTGGCTGTCCTGAAAGTTGTTCTGATCAACAGGCTGGCCTGGTACTCAGAGATTTTCCTGACTCTCTCCCTAGTGCTAGGATTAATGGTGGATCAACATTACTGGTTTTTTTTTTTTTATATTAACAAGTGATGGGCCTGGAATATAGGTTTTTGTACATGTCAAACATACACTGTTGCTGAAGTTCACCCATATGTAGAATTTAAACTTGGCAGATGATATCATTCTGTTTCCCAAGATGGCATATATTTATGACATCAATATTGTCTGAGCCTTCTTAGTCATTAGATTGTAGGTACAGGACTTTCTTCCTTGTGTTGTATTTGTTTTGAATTTTTTAAATGAATACAAGCATTTTACCTGTATACATGGCCATGCACCATGTGGGTACCTGGTTCTCATTGTGATCAAAAGCTGCTCTGAGAAACCCTGAATTTGGAGTAATAGAGAGTTTTGATTCTCCCATGCAAGTACTGGCAATTGAGTCCACCTATGTGCAAGACCATCACTACTACTATTACTACTACTACTACTACTACTACTACTACTACTATTACTACTACTACTGAACCCTTTGTTGATTATTTATGGTCAAAATGTATATTGCTAATGTTTTTATCTGTCCAATTGTAACTGTTTAAACATGCAGCGTCTTTCAGTAAAATTTTATTGATTTTACAGTATAAATTTGGACACTTCAGGTTACTGGAAGATGAGTACAGAACTGGAGTGAATGCATAACACTTTGTAGGAACTTAATAAGAACTTCTGAGTTCTTCTTTTGTTTGTTTTTTTTTTTTTTTTTTTTGACTCAGGGTTTCTCTGTGAGACAGTCCTGGCTATTCTGGATCTCCCTCTGTAGACCAGGATGGCCTCAGTCTCACAGAAATACGCCTGCCTCTGCCTCACAAGTGCTGGCATTAAAGGCACCTGTCACCACCACCTGGCAATTCTGTCTATCTTTTTTGTTTGTTTGACTGATTTTAGCATGGGAGTGAGTATCTTAACATGTATTTCTGCCTGTCCTGGAACAGATTGCATAGACTATGCTGGCATTTAAGTCAGAGACAAACAAATACACCTGCTTCTGCCCTTTGAGTAATGGGGTTAAAGGCATAAGCCAATACACTCAGCTTGTCCATCTTATTTTTCTTTTATGTAGTTAGTAATTGTTCATAAAATTTCTCTCATGTGTACTCTGTACGGGTGATCTTTTTACTTGTCTCTCTATGTTTGTTAAAAGACATTTCTCTTGCAAGGTGATATGCCACCTAAAGTGACTTGGAATTTACATTATAATGTCTATATCATGAAATAAGTGTGGGAGCACCAGAATTATATGACTATACTGTCAAAGTTGTATACATTTACAATGTTGTCCATATCATGCTTTCTGTTGTACACATGTATGGGATATTTTAGAATACAGTGACCTATGATGATGTACATGTTGACTTCACTTGGGAAGAGTGGACTTTGCTGGATCCATCTCAGAAGACTCTATATAAAGATGTGATGCTGGAGACCTACAGTAACCTCACTGCTATAGGTAAGACTGAATTTTCCTTCACATTTAAATTAAGGGGAGAACTCTTCCTTGGTTAGTGATGCTCTTCCATAGTTTTATTGAGAAAGAAGAGGAATGAGGTGAATAATTCAGGCATGGTTCTAAGGTTCACTGAAGATATTAAGTTAAATTTTGTCCCATTTTCAATAATATACATACATTTTCTGGTACTCTATTTCAGGATACAGTTGGGAAGACCATACTATTGAAAAACACCATCAAAGTACTACAAGACATAAAAGGTAATATTCTTGTGCAAGCTGATACAAATATTCCTCTGGAGAAACTATAATGTGTCCTGAAATTTTTAAATGAAAGCAACAGTGCACATAAGCACAGATTAAAGTGCATTGATGATAATTAAGTTCTCATAAAACCATATACCTCAATTTTAGGTAGGTGAATTTCACTTGGAAGGCAGTCTTTTTTTTTTTTTTTTTTTTTGGTTTTTAGAGACAGGGTTTCTCTGTGTAGCTCTGCGCCTTCTCCTTCTTCTATCCCTATTATTCTTAGGTTTGGTCTTTTTATGGTGTCCCAAATTTCCTGGACGTTTCGTGTTACGACTTTTTTGTCTTTAGTGTTTTCTTTGACTGATGAATCTATTTTATCTATTGTGTCTTCAGTGTCAGAGATTCTCTGTTCCATCTCTTGCAATCGGTTGGTTATGCTTGTTTCTGTAGTTCCTGTTTGTTTAGTCAGGATTTTTATTTCCAGCATTCCCTTATCATGTGTTTTCTTTATTGTCTCAAATTCATTTTTCAGATCTTGGAATGTTTCTTTCATCTGTTTAATTGGTTTTTCTTGGCTTTCTTTGATTTCTTCCCTTTTTTTTTTTTCATTTTTTCTTCCATTTCTTTAAGGGAGTTTTTTATTTCCTCTTTAATGGAGTTTTTCATTTCCTCTTTAAGGGAATTTTTTATTTCCTCTTTAAGGGAATGTTTTATTTCTTCTTTAAGGGCCTCTATCATCTTCTTAAAGTCGTTTTTAGGGTTGATTTCTTCTGTTTCTTCTGTCTTGGTATGTTCAGGTCTTGCAGGTGTAGAATCACTAGGTTCTGATGTTGCCATATAGGTCTTTATGTTGTTGCCTGTATTTTTGCACTGGCGTCTACTCATCTTTTCCTCTGCTCGATGCAGGTGGTGTCTGTGTCTGAGAGTGCCTCCCTTGTTCTAATTTTTAGTCTTGGTTTAGTAGGAGTTCTTGATTAAATTGGTGCTATTGGGCTGTTTCTTCAGGGGTAGCTGATCTCAGTCGGTGAATTATATACTTATGATTCTGGTGATCTGGTTTGGTGGCTGGGCAGTGCCTTCTTCTGTGTTCCCAGGTCACGTTTTGTTCATTTGTCAACTCCTCAGCTGATATTGTTTTTTCAGACTTCAAACTGTAGGCATATAAATCCTCTCCCAGATGGGTTTCAGTTGAGTATGGTAGCCTCACCAGCACCTCCAAGTTGTTGGGTTTTGCAGGATCAGCAGCTGGGCCCTGGGTTGTCCTCAGATGGAGTGTTCAGATGTGTTCTGATTCCGTCCCACGGAGATAGCTTCTTCCCCAGGTGTTGGGGTTAGAGGCATCCCTCTGTTCCAAGCTTTTGATTAAGAGTTTGTTTTCAATAGCTCTTCAGAGAGTAATAGCCCTGTTTCTGGTCTTTATTGCAACTCTGTTTCGGTCATCACCTGCTGTGCCTGCCTGCCTCCACCCTGGGCCTGCCTCCCTCTGCTGGACCCATCTACCTCTGCGGGCCACCGCCGGGCCTGTATGTCTCTGCCGGCTGCCGCCTCGGACCTACCTGCCTCTGCCTGTCACCCGATGCGGTGCCTGTCTACCTGTATGTCTCTGCTGGCTGCTGCAGCGGGCCTACCTGCCTCTGCTTGTCGCTGCTGCCGGGCCCGTGTACCTCTGCGGGCCGCCACTGGGCCCGTCAACCTCTGTGGGCTACCGCCGGGCCTGTCAAAATCTTAATTCTTATATCACATGTCTGTAAGGAACAGGAAGTCGAACTGCATGATTATAATGTGGAAACCTTTTTATTTGTTATTTTTCCTTTACTAGGTATTTCATATGTCACTCTGTATACAAGACATATGTGCATAGGAATAAGGAAAGATGCAACATACTTCTCTCTCAGAACAATTAGAAGATATATAGGACTGCACATGTTAAGTATACTTGTTGAATTTGATTCAGGTATATAAGTTTTCTAGGTTCATTGTTAATACATCAGCAACCTCACAGTGCAGAAAAACTCTATGATTACTAGGACTGTATAAATACTTCTCTTTGTCCTATTTCACTTAGCAAATGTAGTTTGACTCACAGTTATAGAAAAATTTATGAAGCAACCATAATTGTAAAGCTCTGAGGTTTTCCAGTTTTCTTGAAATAAATAAAAAAATTCATATAGAGAAAAGATTCTGTAAATGTGAACCTTGTAAGAAAGGATCTTACCATTATCGTATCTTTAAAGATAATTCAAACAACCCTTCATGAAGGTGAACACATGAGTGCAAACACTGTGATGAAACTTTAATATGTGATTCCTGTTTATATTTGAAACAAACTGCAAAATCAATTAATATAGATGTAAAGATTCAATAGTGTATTGAATGTGCTAAAGCTCTTACATGTGCTGATTCTCCTTGCAGACATGAAAGAAGCCATATTGGAGAGGAACCTTCTGTACATACTCAATATAGTAAAGTCTTTGCATATGACAGTCATCTTCAAAGGCACGGAAGAACACATACAGGAGAGAAACCCTATGAATGTAATCAGTGTGGTAAAGCCTTTGCATCTCACAGAAATCTGAGATTACATACAAGAACACATACTGGAGAGAAACCCTATGAATGTAATGAATGTTGTAAAGCCTTTGCACAAAAGCGTCTTCTTCAAAGACATAAAAGAACACATACTGGAGAGAAACCCTATGAATGTAATCAATGTGGTAAAGCCTTTGGACAAAAAGAGTATCTTAAAATGCATAAACGAACGCATACTGGAGAGAAACCCTATGAATGTAATCTGTGTGGTAAAGCCTTTACACAACAGGGTTCTCTTCAAATGCATACAAGAACACATACTGGAGAGAAACCCTACGAATGTAATCTGTGTGGTAAAGCCTTTAGACAGCAGGGTTCTCTTCAAATGCATAAAAGAATACATACTGGAGAGAAACCCTATGAATGCAATCAGTGTGGTAAAGCCTTTGGACAAAAGTGTCTTCTTCAAAAACATAAAAGAACACATACAGAAGAGAAACATTTTGAATGTAATCAGTGTGGTAAAGCCTTTGGACAAAAGAGTCATTTTCAAAAACACAAAAGAAAACATACTGGAGAAAAACCTTATGAATGTAATCAATGTGGTAAAGCATTCTCTACACAGAAAAGTCTCCAATTACATAGGAGAACCCATACTGGTGAGAAACCCTATGAATGTAATGTGTGTGGTAAAGCCTTTACACAAAAGGGTTATCTTCAAATTCATAAAAGAACCCATACTGGAGAGAAACCCTATGAATGTAATCTGTGTGGTAAAGCCTTTACACAACAGGGTTCTCTTCAAATGCATAAAAGAACACATACTGGAGAGAAACCTTATGAATGTAATCAGTGTGGTAAAGCCTTTGGACAAAAGAGTCATCTTCAAAAACATAAAAGTACACATACTGAGGAGAAACCCTATGAATGTAATCAATGTGGTAAAGCTTTTGGACAACAGGCTTATCTTCAAATGCATGAAAGAACACATACTGGAGAGAAACCCTATGAATGTAATGAATGTGGTAAAGCCTTTGGACAAAGACGTCTTCTTCAAAGACATAAAAGAACACATACTAGAGAGAAACCCTATGAATGTAACCAATGTGGTAAAGCCTTTGGACAAAAAGTGTATCTTAAAATGCATAAAAGAACACATACTGGATAGAAACATTATGAATGTAATCAATGTGGTAAAGCATTCTCTACACAGAAAAGTCTCCAATTACATAGAAGAACCCATACTGGAGAGAAACCCTATGAATGTAATCAGTGTGGTAAAGTCTTTGCATTTCACAATAATTTCCAATTGCATAAAAAGTCACTTACTGGAGAGAAACCTTACGAATGTAATCAATGTGGTAAAGCCTTTGCATTGCATAGTAGTCTCCAGGCACATAGAAGAACACATTCTGGTGAGAAACCCTATAACTGTAATCAATGTAGTAAAGCATTCTCTGCAGAGAAAGTTCTCAAATTACACAGGAGAACCCATAGTGGAGAGAAATCCTATGAATGTAATCCATGTGGTAAAACCTTTATGCAACAGTGTAATCCTCAGACACATAAAACATACTGGAGAGAAACCCTATGAATGTAGTCAATGTGGTAAAGCCTTCTCTAGACACAATAGTCTCCAAGCACATAGAAGAACACATACTGGAGAGAAACTATATGAATGTAATCAATGTGGTTAAGCCTTTGTATAACAGGGTGGTCTTTAAATTCATAAAAGAGCTCATACTGGAGAGAAACCCTATGAATGTAATCAGTGTGGCAAAGCCTTCTCCAAACAGAGTAAGCTCCAAGAACATAGAAGAACACATACTGGAAAGAAACCCTATGAATGTAATCAATGTGGTAAAGCCTTCACTACACAGAGTAGTCTCCAAGCACATAAAAGAACACATACTGGAGAGAAACCCTATGAATGTAATCAATGTGGTAAAATCTTTGTCTATGCTAGTAGTCTTCGAAACCATTTGAAAAAATTATACTGCAAAAAACCTTATAAATGTCATCAGTGTTGTAAAATTTGCATTTTATACAGAAATAAACTTTTTGTGTGCAATCAATCCATTAAAGCCTTTGTATAGTACAATAGTATTTGGGGATCTGAAAAAATACTAATGTTTTTTTGTTTTTTTGTTTGTTTGTTTGTTTGGTTGGTTGGTTTTTCAAGACAGTTTCTCTGTGTAGTTTTGGTGCCTGTACTGGATCTCACTCTGTAGACCAGGCTGGCCTGCAAACACAGAGATCTGCCTGGCTCTGCCTCCCAAGGGATTAAAGGGATTAAAGGCTAGTACTACCCTTGCCCGGTGATGGCTTCTTAATATAAAGTATCTGTTTAGATGTTTAGTCAACACACTTACAGCAGTATTCTGTAGGAAAAAAAAATTGACAATGTCAACAATCTCTTCAAGTTTTATTGTTGCTGGAGAGCTTCTCTCCAGGTTCCCCAAGGCCCGCAGTCCCACAATCCA